GTTCAAGCTGGATTTAGAAAAGGCAGAGGAATCAGAGATCAAATTGCCAACATCTGTTGGATCATCGAAAAAGCAAGAGAATTCCAGATAAACATCTACTTCTACTTCATTGACTACGCTAAGGCCTTTGACTGCATGGATCAGAACAAACTGTGGGAAATTCTTAAAGAGATGGAAATACCAGACCACCTGACCTGCCTCCTGAGAAATCTGTGTATAGGTCAAGAAGCAACAGTTAGAACTGAACATGGAACAATGGACTGGTTCAAAACTGGGAAAGGAGTACGTCAAGACTGTATATTGTCACTCTGGTTATTAAACTTACCTGCAGAGTATATCATGCAAAATGACAAGCTGGATAAAGCACAGGCTGGAATCAAGATTGCTGGGAGAAACATCAATAACCTCAGATATGCAGATGACACCACCCTTATGGTAGAAAGTGAAATGGAACCGAAGAACTTCTTGATGAAGGTGAAAGAGGAGAGGGAAAAAGCTGGTTTAAAACTCAACATTCAAAAAACAAAGATCATGGCATCCAGTCTTATCATTTCATGACAAATAGATGGGGAAACAATAGAAACAGACTTTATTTTCTTGGGCTCCAAAATTACTGTGGATGATAACTGCAACCATGAAATTAAAAGACACTTGCTCCTTGGAAGAAAAACTATGACCAAACTAGACAGCATATTAAAAAGCAGAGATATTACTTTATTGACAAAGTCTATATAGTCAAAGCTTTGGTTCTCCCAGTAATCATGTATGGATGTGACAGTTGGACCATAAAGAAGGCTGAGTGCCCAAAAATTGGTGCTTTCAAACTGTGGTGTTGGAGAAGACTCTTGAGAGTCCCTTGGACTGCAAGGAGATCCAAGCAATCAATCCTCAAAGAAATCAATCCTCAATATTCATTGGAAGGACTGATGCTGAAGCTGAAGCTCCAAAACTTTGGCCACTTGATGCGAAGAACTGACTCACTGGAAAAGGCCTTGATGCTGGGAAAGACTGAGGGCAGAAGGAGAAGGGGACAACAGAAGACAAGATGGTTCGGTGGCATCACTGATTCAATGGACATGAGTTTGGGTAAACTCTGGGAGTTGGTGATGGACAGGGAAGCCTGACATGCTGCAGTCCATGGGGTCGCAGAGTCAGACACAACTGAATGACTAAACAACAACATAACTGATTTATAAAGTTGCGTGTACGCACACACACACATATATACATTTTCATATTCTTTTCCGTATCTTTTACTACAAGATATGACCATAGCTCCCTGTGCTGTGTCGCAGGGCCTTGCTGTCTGCCTATTTGGTGCATGGTTGTCGGTATCTGCTACTTTTCCTGTTGAGTCCGCTTCTGCTCCCCCACAGATCACCTTGGGATGACTCCTTAGAAAAGAAGGCTGCTCCGCAGGAGCACGGCTGCTTCCTTGTAAAGAAGGCACCTGGCTAGCTCCCCTGAGGGCTGAAAAGAAGAAACAGTAAACAAGCAGACCAAAATACTTAGTCAGATCCTACTGGGAGAAGGTGATTGTGTGAGTGGGCTGGAAGAGATACAGAGTTCAGTTTATGGTTGTCTTGGGTTTTCCACCCACTGCCTATGGAATGGGGTTGGGCCTAATGAACGTTTCCAAAGGGTCTTTGAAATTTATGAGATGAAAGGCAATGGACCATTTTTCAAGGAGTTTTGCCAGTTCTCATTTGTCTGTTTACTATTGGGGATGCAGGGCAATTAAAGAATCTGTGAACATCAAAGATGTGTGACAGCACACAGAGGTGTGTTATCCTCACTGCTGAACCCAGTGTCCTGTGTGTATAATGGGAGGGATCTCTATAGTCATCTCCTTCATTAATGTAGACGGGGGTCATCTGGGTTTTCTCACGGGCTCTGGCTTTCTTCATTGAGCCAATCCCCTTTTCTGTTAGTTGGGTATGCAACTGTGAGGTGCCGTGGAGGGATGCGGGGTGAGAAACAGAGGACTAGAGTGTTCTTATTCGTATTTGCATGGCAATCAGAGCCTGTAATAGTCAATGCATAGGAGTTCCTAGCACTAGGGGCAAGTGTGTGCGTGCTGGTGTTCGGGTGTGTGATAAAACCAAACACAGAGCAAAAGTGAGGTTGCCAACTCTAAAGAGGTCAAAATTCAGTGCTATAGTGAACACAAAGAGGTCAAAATCAAATGCTATAGTGAACGATCTTCGGAGGAGTCTGTGAATCTGAGCAAGCCATTTGGACCAAAGTTAAACTCTCAAGAAACCAGTCTGGGAACGGGTCTGCACCTCTGAGGCCAATGCTTGGGAGAATTCCATGCATCTCTGAGAAGCCACGGTACTTACTTGCCCAAGGTTAGATAGATTATATATGTACATATATAATATGTAGATTATATGTGATATAGATTATATATATTATATAATATATAATATTATTATGCATTATATAATACATATAATGTATATATAATCTATATCATATATAATCTATACAATATACATACATATATATACACACACACACACACATATATATATATATATATATTTACTGTTTCTACTGGCTGAGCATTGTCATTGTTGATACAAGGAAGCCTGGGTGTTCTTTCAGAGAGTTCTCAGATTTTCTTCATCATGAACATGGTGAGGCTCTCTGTTGTCCTTAGTTTGCTAGGAGGCTGCCCAGCATTGCCTTCCTGCAGGAATTCAGGTGAGATGCCATCTGTCTGCAGCCAAGAGAGATGGCCTGCCTGGCTGTGTGCACTGATGTGGGACTACAGGTGCCCTATGCCTGCCTGGGGTCTGTACAGAATAATTTCTGAGTTTACCCCAGGAAGTCTACACCATCAGCCAATCTGATGAAGTCATTTGTGCAAACGGCATCCTGGTGTGGTGGGCAGAGTCCTGAACTAAATCAGAGCACCTGGGTATAAATGCTAACGGCTCAGCTTCTTACAAAGCTGCATTAACCTTGCTTTCTTCACTTAGGGACATGAGTATATTTGAATCTCTTGTTCCCACAAGCTGTTTTGCGGGTGGGTGAATGTGAATGTAAGGGACCATATGAGGAAACGGTTGTGGATAGTGTTGGGAGAGGGGTAGAGGATAAACCAACATGCCACTCAAGTCAACATTTTAATTATATTTTCTGGAGAAACTACCCTTTCCTTCATAATCCAACCAGAGGAACTCCATTTCAGATGACTTGCTCCTTGGCAGAAAAACTATGACCAACTTATATAGCATATTAAAAAGCAGAGACATTACTTTGCCAACAAAGATTCATATGGCTTTTCCAGTAGTCATGTGTGGGTGTGACAGCTGGACCATAAAAGAGGCTGAGCACCAAAGAACTGATGCTTTCAAATTGTGGTGCTGGAGAAGACTCTTGGACAGCAAAGAGATCAAACTAGTCAACCCTAAAGGAAATCAACCCTGAATATTTATTGAAAGGACTGATGCTGAAGCTGAAGCTCCAATACTTTGGCCATCTGATGTGAAGAGCCGACTCATTAGAAAAGACCCTGATGCTGGGAAAGATTGAGGGCAAGAGGAGAAGAGGGCTACAGGGGATGAGGACTGGATGGCATCATGGACTCAATGGACATGAGTTTGAGCAAGCTCCAGGAAATGGTGAAAGACAGGGAAGCCTGGAGTGCTGCAGTTCATGGGATTGCAGAGTTGGACATGACTGAGTTACTGAATAAGAGCAACCCAAAATCACATAACTAAGAACCCAGGACCCAGAATAACAGATGACACAGGATAAGCGCTCAAATAGTTTACTGGGTGACAGAGTAATTGGGCACATAATGAAACGTGATTATAAAGAGCTTCTTATGAAAGTGAAAGAAGAGAGTGAAAAAATTGGCTTAAAATTCAGCATTCAAAAAAAAAATTCAGCATTCAAAAAACAAGATCTTGGCATCTGGTCCCATCACTTTATGGCCAATGTATGGGGAAACAGTGGAAACAGTGACAGACTTTATTTCTTGGGCTCCAAAATCACTGCAGATGGTGACTACAGCCATGAAATTAAAAGACGCTTGCTCCTTGGAAGAAAAGCTATAACAAACCTAGACAGCATATTAAAAAACAGAGACATTACTTTGGCAACTAAGGTCCATCTAGCCAAAGCTATGGTTTTTCCAGTAGTCATGTATGGATGTGAGATTTGGATTATAAAGAAAGCTGAGCAGTGAAGAATTGATGCTTTTGATCTATGGTGTTGGAGAAGACTCTTGAGGGTCCCTTGGACTTCAAGGAGATCCAACCAGTCCATCCTAAAGGAGATCAGTCCTGAATATTCATTGGAAGGACTGACACTGAAGCTGAAACTGCAGTACTTTTGCCACCTGATGTGAAGAACCGACTCATTGGAAAAGACCCTGATGCTGGGAAAGATTGAAGGCAGGAGGAGAAGGGGACGACAGAGGACGAGATGGTCTGATGGCATCACTGACTCGACAGACATGATTTTGAGTAAACTCCAGGAGCTGGTGATGGACAGTGAAACCTGGTATGCTGCAGTCCACGGGGTCGCAAATAGTCGGACACGACTGAGAGGACTGAACTGAACTGAATGAAATGTGATAAGTAGACACCTTCCGGGTATTATGGGAGCATTTATTTACTGGTCTTAAAAGCATAACTTTAAGTGTAAGAACTCAGATCCATTAAAGATTAAGAAAAGATGCTCTAGGTTTCTCAATGGAGAAGTTTAAAAAAAAGTTCATTATGTATAATAGATTACAAACCCAGTGTTTTTTTTAGTTTCAAAATACTGTGTCACTTATTAACCTATTGTCTCCGAGCTTCAAGTACACTTTTCTGTACTTGGCCCCGACACGGGCTCTGTAAATCACCTTCTGCAAAGCCGCGGCCGGTAGCGCCGGTAGGGGGCGCTGGAGGCAGGCTGGAAGAGGTGGAAGGGACGCGGACACGGCTCTTCTGCTTGCGTCTGGCTGCCTCAGAATTGCCGCGGCGCTGCTGCTTCTCCACCCGCCAGGGCCGGTTTATTCCGACAGCGGCAAGCGACTCCAGCTGGCAGCGCTCCTGATGCCCGCGCCGTCAGCCTCACGGCCGCCCGCCCGCCTGCCCGGCCGTCAGCCCGCGTTGGTCCGCGCCCCCTCCGCAGAGGCCTGGCCCCGCCTCGAGCGCCGCTCCTCCGCGTCTGCATCTCAGCCTTTCCACCCTCTTCTCCTCGCTTCCCCACCGCAGGGGCTGACTACATCTGCGCTTGTTATCTCTGTGATACCTTAGCCTTCTCATTTGGCATTTTCAGGCTTTCAAACGGCTAAACATTTTTTTTTTTTTTTTTTTTGCATCTAGACTCTTAACATAATGCTTAAAAAATATGTCTATATACTCATATATATTTTATGGAAGTATAGTAAGTTTACAATATTTCAGGCACAAAGCAAAGTGATTCGGAATATGTGTATTCTTTTTCAGATTCTTTCCATTATAGGTTATTAATTCAGTTCTCTGTGCGGTACAGTAGGTCCTTGTTTATCTGTTTTATTTATAGTAGTGTTGATCTGTTAACCCTAGACTCCTAATTCATCCTGCACCCCTGTTTTCCCTTTGGGTGACCATAAATTTGTTTTCTATGAGTGTTTTCCTGTTTTATAAGTTCATTTATATAATTTTTTTTAGAATCCATGTTTTAAGTGGTATCATATGGTATTTGTCTTTGACTTCACTTAATATAATAGTCTCTAGGTCCATCCATGTTGCTGCAAATGGCATTATTTTATTCTTCTTTATGGCTGAGTAACAGTTAATTTCCCTGGTGGCTTAGGTGGTAAAGAATCTGAATGCAATGCAGGAGACCTGGGTTCGATCCCTGGGTTGGGAAGATCCCCTGGAGGAGGGCAGGGCAACCCACTCCAGTATTCTTGCCTGGAGAGTCCCATGGACAGAGGAGCCTGGCGAGCAACAGTCCATGCGTTGTAAAGAGTTGGACATGACTAAGCAACTAAGCATAGCTCTTTTGGTCTTTAGAATTTTTTCTCTAGGACTTTTAAAATAAAAAGCTGGAAGAGACACTAAGGACCACTTTGTTCAATCTCTTCATTTTATAGATGAAGAAACTAAGGTCCAGAGAGCTTGATATTTGCTTGAGTTCAGTTAATTAGAGCCACATCTTTTTTTCCCCCTGGCCGCACTGCCAGTATGTGGGGCCTTAGTTCCCTGACTAGGGGTTGAACCCTTGCTCCCTGCAGTGGAAGAGTCTTAACCACTGGCAAGTCCCAGGAAGTCACAACTCTTGATGCCTCTTCCTATTCGTCACCACAACATGCTGTACTTTAGTTATACACGCACCTTGGCCCTTCCTAGGCTGATTAGACGGGTGTCCGTCACACGAGGGCCGTGGAGGGTGGTTGTGCTTTCTGGCGTTGTTGGCATAAGATGTGACTCTTCGGGGCTGCACTGTGACAGGTACCTGGATTCTGGAGCTTTGTAGGATATTAAGTAATTAAAGGGCAAGCTCCCAGTTTCCTCCCCGAACAGTCCAGCTCAGAGAGCTTGATTTGGCTTGTAAGAGGTTCGTGAGAGGCCAACCCAACTTCCTCTGGGCATGAAGGTTGTGAGTCAGGTCATCTGGGCTGGCAGCTGGGCTGGTTTCGTTTTCCCTCTGAGCGTTGCTTGTTTTGCTGTTGCCTTGTCACACAAGGCCACCGGATCTGAGTTATGAGAGTTACTACAGCAGGCTGCTGTCAGCATTGTAACACGAAGCGTGACAAAGACACTCTCCAGATTGGAGGGATGCTCCCTATGGGCTACGTTTAGGCATGGGATGCTCACCGGATGCTCCCGAAAACACCAACATTTGAGGTTTATCAGCAGCCCATGTAAGGCAAAGCAGATGCCTCTGTTTTCTGCAGACTAAATGAGAAAGAAAGAAATTATCACCATTTACCATTCTCAGTGATGAAGGTTTTGGAGACCCAAGTGACAAAAGGGGTTTCTGTTTGTATTTCCCAGATGGTTTGCACTTGATAGAAATGTGAGTTCATTTTAAGCTTTAAAATCAGATACACTTGTCATCTCAGTGATGGCTGTATCATTGTGCTTCTTTTCTCCAGACCAGCCTGATTCTGCTCATTATTGGCAGCGGGACGGAGCAGAAGCAAAGCAAGTCAGACCCCTTGCTCCCTGAGAATCTCTGTGAACGTGAGAAAACTCTGGCAGCTATCGTGTCCATACCACTGCTTACAGGTCATTTTTATTTTTTCACTGAAGTATAGTTGACCTACAGTATTGTATGAGTTTCATATGTACAGCACGGTGATTCACTATTTTCATGGATTATACTTCAGTTAAAGTTATTACAAGACAGTGGGTATAATTCTCTGTGCTGTACAATATATCCGTGTTGCTCATCTGTTTTATGCGTCATGATTTATATCTTTTAATCCCCTCCCCCTTCCCCTCTCCCCACTGGTCATCACTAGTTTGTTCTCTTTGTCTGTGAGTCTGCTTGTTTTTTTGCTATATTCACTATTTTGTTGTATTTTTTAGATTCCACATATAGGTGACATCATACAGTATTTGTCTTTCTCTGTCTGACATCTCACTAAGCATAATATTCTCTAGGTCCACCCATGTTGTGGTTTATTTAGGTCTTTTTGATGTGACAACATTCCTGGGGCTTTGAACCTACTGGACTTCTGTGTCTTTCAGCCTAAGTCCACTACCCACCCACCCCAACTACATTAATAAAAACCTCACAAAATTTAGTGAAAACTTAAATAGTTTAAGCTTTTAAATTTCAAGAAGTTTTATTGGCAGCATTTTCTTTGCGTTTAAACTTGTAGATTTCAAACAATCACTTCTTTGCTTCCTTTAGGTCTGTGATCAAAGCCACCGTGTCTGAGAGGTCTTCCCGCCCTCTGATTATGATTACCCATGAGTCTTTGCTCTGCGCAGACCATTACTGCCTGATTCAGCTCCTCTGTTTTTCTCCATAATACTTAACAGCACCCAATATGTATGTTTGTCATTCATCTCACCTTACTAGCTAAAAGCTCCAGAGGGCAGGGGCTTAACTGTTCACTGCTCTACCCCCAGTATTGAGAAGAGGTCTTGGTACATAGTAGACGCTCAACAAATATTTGTGGGGTGACTGAATAAGGAACCACTAACTTACTTTTAAAACATTTTGAACCGTCCCTGCCGTCCGCAGGCTTTCTCAGTCTCAGCGAGCAGGGCTGCTCTTCGTGGTGGAGCATAGGCCTCTCATTTGGGTGGCTTCTCTTGTTGCAGAGCATAGGCTCCTGGTGCATGGGTGTCAGTAGTTGCAGCACACAGGCTCAGGAGCTGTGGCTCACGGGTTAGTTGCAGCACAACATGTGGTGCATCCCCATGTCTTCCTGGACCGGGGATGTAACCCGTGTCCCCTGCATTGGAGGTGGATTCTTCCCCATTGGACCACCACGGCAGTCCTAGTCTACATCTAATTACATTAGTCTAAGGTGGATTCAGTTCAGTCTCTCAGTTGTGTCCGACACTTTGTAACCCCATGGACTGCAGCATGCCAGGCTTACTTGTCCATCACCAATTCCCAGAGCTTGCTCAGATTCATGTTCATTGCTTCTAAGGAGCAAGTGTCTTTTAATTTCATGGTTGCAGTCACCATCTGCAGTGATTTTGGAGCCCAAGAAAATAAAGTCTGTCACTGTTTCCATTGTTTCCCCATATTTGCCATGAAGCGATGGGACCGGATGCCTTTGATCTTCATTTTTTGAATGTTGAGTTTTAAGCCAACTTTTTTTACTCTCCTCTTTCACCTTCATCAACAAGCTCTTCAGTTCCTCTTCACTTTCTGCCATTAGGATGGTGTCATCTGCACATCTGAGGTTATTGATATTCCTCCTGGCAATCTTGATTCCAGCTTGTGCTTCACCCAGTCTGGCATTTTGCATGATATACTCTGGAGATAATTTAAATAAGCAGAGTGACAATATACAGCCTTGACGCACTCCTTTACCAACTTGGAACCAGTCTGTTGTTCCATGTCCAGTTCTAACTGTTGCTTCTTGACCTGCATACAGATTTCTCAGGAGGCAGGTCAGGTGGTCTGGTATTCCCATCTCTTTAAGAATTTCCCACAGTTTGTTGTGATCCACACAGCCAAAGGCTTTGGCATAGTCAGTAAAGCAGAAGTAGATTTTTCTGGAACTCTTTTCCTTTTTCAATGATCCAGTGGATGTTGGCAACTTGATTTCTGGTTCCTCTGCCTTTTCTAAATCCAGATTGAACATCAGGAAGTTCACGGTTCACGTATTGTTGAAGCCTGCCTTGGAGAATTTTGAGCATTACTTTGCTAGCATGTGCGGTAGTTTGAGCATTCTTTGGCATTGCCTTTCTTTGGGATTGGAATGAAAACTGACCTTTTCCAGTCCTGTGGTTACTGCTGAGTTTTCTAAATTTGTTGACATATTGAGCACAGCATTTTAACAGCATCATCTTTTAGGATTTGAAATAACTCATCCGGAATTCCATCACTTCCACTAGCTTTGTTCATAGTGATGCTTCCCGAGGCCCACTTGACTTCGCATTCCAGGATGTCTGACTCTAGGTGAGTGATCACACCATCATGGTTATCTGGGTCATGAGAGATCTTTTTTGTATAGTTCTTCTGTTTATTCTTGTCACCTCTTCTTAATCTCTTTTGCTTCTGTTAGGTCCATACCATTTCTGTCCTTAATTGTGCCCATCTTTGCATGAAATGTTCCCTTGGTATCTCTGATTTTCTTGAAGAGATATCTAGCTTTTCCTGTTCTATTGTTTTCCTCTATTTCTTGGCATTGATTGCTGAGGAAGACTTTCTTAACTGTCCTTGCTCTTCTTTGGAACTCTGCATTCAGATGGGTGTATCTTTCGTTTTCTCCTTTGTTGTTTGCTTCTCTTCTTTTCTCAGCTATTTGTAAGGCCTCCTCAGACAACCACTTTGCCTTTTTTGCATTTCTTTTTCTTGGGGATGGTTTTGATCACCACCTCCTGTACAATGTAATGAACCTCTGTCCATAGTTCTTCAGGTACTCTGTCTATCAGATCTAATCCCTTGAATCTGTCACTTCCACTGTGTAATCATAAGGGATTTGATTTAGGTCATACTGGAATGGTCTAGTAGTTTTCCCTACTTTCTTCAGTTTAAGTCTGAATTTTGCA